TTACAATATATGTGTTGGGGTAGTAAGGGTGTCACATATTTCGTTTAATAATTCATATTTTACATCAAATTTCAACGATCCAGCCATTGAATTTAAAAATCATTTGATATTGATTTCACTAATTCAAATCAACGTATAAAATAATTTTATGAATATTTTTCAATTTGAATTAATGAATTAAAATATCAAATATTTTTCAATTTTTAAAAAATTTGCAGAATTAATTTATGTAATATAAACTTTAAACTCAATTATTAGATTATTAAAATTTGATGTAAAAACATGAGTTATTGAATAAATTAGGTCTAGTTAGACTTATTCCTGTCCTGGAGTAAACATATTACTCCTTATATATATACATACCCATATATAAGGATAGATTCATTTACCTTACCTTACTCTGTTCAATAACTCATACTCTATATCAAATCTAAATTATCCAACCCTTAGATTTAAAGTTCTTAACGCACAAATTAAATCTACAAATTTCAAAAAAAAATTGAAGATCATTTAATATTTCGTTTCATTAATTCAAATTGATGGATAATCATAAAAATATATCCCTCCTCATATATATATATATATATATATATATATATATTAATTAGAGTTATGATTTTATTTTATACTTTCCATAATTAGTAAAAAATAAATTAATTATTTTAATAGTTAAATAATCTATTCTTATTATAAAGTAGCACCTTATTTTTGCGTATACAATTTTTGGAGTATTTTATTCGTAAAATTTTATATAATTAAAAATTAACTAAACCCAAGATTTTGAAGTTTAAAGACTAAGCATAATACCAATTGATTCAATAAACATTAATAATTTTTAAACACCTTTAAATAAATATAGAGACACGAATTGTTTTGACTCTACTACTAATAATAATAATAATCTATTTAAAATTATATACCTAAATATAATTTAATTCTTAATTTTTTTTTAAAATTTCTCTGAGATTTATTAAATTTTTTATATACAATTTGAATTAAAATTTTATTTTAAAAGTATTTAATAAATTAAAATTGCAGAAAAAGGTATCGTGAGCTTCCTTGTGGACTTTTCTAAATTTGTTAAACTCGACCATAATGAGATTGGATATAAAAACTTTAAACCTATCTCTTTTTTTTTTTTTGTGAAGTCATGAAACTTTTCTTCACATGCCCCATTGTGATGCCAAGCTCTTTCTATGAAATTAGCATTTTAATCAGTTAAATATTTATTATATATAAGTAAATTTTATAATATAAAATATTATATTTAAATATATAAATTATATTTAAATTTTTTATAAATAAATATTTTTAAATGTATAAATTGTATTTTATATATTGTATAAATAATATATTGTTATACAATATTATTTTTATTTATTAATAATTTATTTTAAAAATATTAAAATTTAATATATGATAAAAAAAATATTAAAAATATTCTAAAAATATTCTTGTACAATATAATTGTTTATGTTTAATATATAGGAATTGGCTAAAGTTAAAACATTCAATAATTTATTTATCTTAAATATTAATTATTTATTAATTTTTGTTAAACTCATTTTTTCACATATTAAAATATAATAGAGAAAAGGTGAATTTATAAGTCATAAAAAGGGGAAATAATGTAAAACTTTTCATTCGATTTTTCAATTCTAATTTTTATTTTGATATAGTGATTGGAAAGAGTTTATAAAATAATAAAACTAGGAAATAGTTGAGATTTCTCGTTTTTTATAGTTGAGATTTATAAAAAAAAAATGTAAATTTTGAGGACTAATAGGGATTAAATTGAAATTTTGGGTGCATAAAAAAAAATTAAGGATTATCCAAGACAAAATCATAGTTTAAGAACCTTTATGATGAAATTAAAGTTTAGGGGGAAGTTGAATATTTTATTCTCTAAAAAAAAAATCTTTAAATGTTGAACCGGCATAAGAATATTTAGAAATTTTTAAAATAAGATATTCAATTATGACCGAAGTAGGTGATAATTTTACTTGTAGATTCATACCTCTGTTTCATTATCTTTATCTCACTCATTTATTCGGCTTCCATTTTCTTCATTTGTTTTGTTTGTTTATTTGTGTTATTAGTTTAACGAGGAACAACTACAGATGCACAATCAGGAAATGTGTCACCAAATCATAGTTCCCAAATTATCAAATTATAAAGAAACAGTTGGCAATGTTTTGAGAGCAAGACATTATTTGAATGAAACAACGTAATCATAAAACAATAAAGAACTCATGCTATTTTATTTAATTTCGGAACAAAACAAAATAAATGTCCATAATAAATATTAAATTATGAAGACAAAAAAAGTATTTTTATTTCACTCTACTTGGTTACATTTTCATTTCATATATAATTATTAGAAAAAATACACACTTTGTACCTCTTATTATTTTTGGAAAATAAAATAAAATGAATAATTATTAAAAACAATTAATTTTTCATTTTTTATCAATAAATAAAGGATATAATGATTAAAAATGTGAAAATTAAATGTGATTATTAAAAAAAGGTATCTTATACATTAGTATATAGATAATTAAATATGCTAGTGAAGCATTTTTTATAATGAGAAAACTACTTGAGTTTAATTTTTTTTTATCATTGGGATCAAATGTCTACCACTATGTTGTGAATATGAAAATTGAGTTGCTCTGGCTTAAGGTTGATGATATATATACTTCCTTTTTCTTATAAGTAAAAAGATTAAAAATTTAAAATATTTTTTATTTTTTATTTTTTATTTTTAATTTTACATCTATAAAATTTAATTTAGTATTTTTTTAACATATCTTTTCTCTTTTTTCAATTTTTATATGCACCCGCTTACTTTTCCTACACCCACCTATTTTGTTAAGTAATTTTAATTCTTTTAATTTTATATTACTCTTCCCCCTCCTCTTTCAGTTTTCTTACTCTTAATTATCTCTTCTCTCTCTGCTTTTAGTTTTCACACATGTAAAATAATATAAAAACTGAGAGAGTTAAAACTATCTACTAAAATAAGTGAAAAATTGAAAAAAAGACAAAATAATGCATGTAAAAACTAAAAAAGAAAAAAAAAGTGTGTGAAAAAGAAGAAGAAAGTAACAAATTAAAAATTGGAGATATAAAATTAGAAAGAAAAAAAACCACAAATATTTTATGTTTTTTTTTATAAAAAAAGTATACTTGTAAAAAAAAAGGAAGTATATATATCTCAGCCCCAGCCTAATAACTGAATGGGCTGTGATTGCCCCACAATTTTTGGGCCCATTCCAATTCTAAACAAAATAGAATTTTGTGGATCAATCCAATTCTGTCAATCATCCATAGGAATAGTAGTTGTACTTCTAAGAGCATCTCTAGTGGTAGTTGCTTATCTATTTCTTAGAGTACCTCCGGTAGGGGGTGCTTGTTATGTATCTTATTTTTAAGTAACAGTGCTTACAAGAAATTCCCACTGGAGTTAGCATACGTGGCAAGACAAGTTCTAAAATTTTTAGCTTTGTTGCTTGGAGAAGCAACTTTGCTTAGCACTCTAAAATTTAAAATGGAGAGGTTTGATTGGTTGATGTTGATCCAAGGTGTAAAATGTACAGAGTTTTTGCAAAAAATGTAGTGTGAGGTGTTAAAAAGTATAGTATGAGTGGTAAAAAAATAAGGATGCCTATAAGCAATTTTTATTGGAGCAAAAATTGTAAAAAATATAGTATGAGTTGCTTATGAGTGACATGGCATAGTAGGACCCGTTTAAAATAGTTAGGAGTCCCATTGTAGATGCTCTTAAAGTCACCTCATCGTTACTTATTAAAATTTTGCATTGGAGATGATCTAGGTGGTATAGTGGGTTGCTTAAACCCTAACAATGTTGCTTATAGAAGCTTCGTTGCTTAAGAAGCAGAAATGTGCACAGTGGGTCCCTCAAGCTCGCCTCCGCTCGCCCCTGTGTGCGCCTTTCGCCTTCGCGCCGCCTTTGCTCGCCCCCCGCACGCCTTCGCTCGCCTTTGTGCCGCCTCCGCTTGCCCCAGAGCGTCTCAGCTCGCCCTCGCGCACGCCTCCGCTCGCCCCTACGCTCGCCTCTCCGTAAAATGTGATGTATAAATAAAAATTTATAAAAGTGTGGATGCTTATAAGAAATATCATTGGAGTAAAATTTCTAAAAATTTATTATGAGTTGCTTAAAGTTGATGTGGCAGAATGAACCCCACATAAAATGATGTAATTCTGTGTGATTCTTATAAAAATCCACATTAGAGATGTTCTAAGGTACCATAAGGTAATAAAGGGTTCTTAAAGCATTTTTAAATGAAAGAATCGTTTCTTATAAATTTGATCGAAATGTTATTGTATAAAAACTCTCTAAGAATCAATTTTTATCAATTAAAAAGATAATTTCACTTAAATAAAAAAAAAATTAGTTTTTCACACACTAAATGAGTTAAGAACTTTAAATTAAACTAAAAATAAAGAAAGTTCTTAAATCTTAACTCCCACAACAAAATAAAAACTTAAAATAAGTTTTACCGCTAAAAATGCTCTAAGCCTTTAAAAAAAGTGTACTAATCAAGAAAGAAAAGCCCCATGATTTTTATCAATCAAATAAAGCACAAGAAAAAAATTAAGTAACAATCCCATAAGAAAACTAAACAATCCACAATAGTGAATAGTTAATATACTACAATGGAAGTTTCCAAATTCTCATCAAGACATCAACCAACAATATTATGATCGATAAAGTTTGTAGGTAATCTGCGAAAAGTACTCTCCCATCTACATTATTATTTTTCCTTCCAATACTCACCTTGTTTGTAGCACCTTGTATTCCATATGAAAATTTTCAGCAATGTTGAAAGAAAGTATAACGATCAAAACAACTGTTTCATTAATGATCTTATTTTGTCTTCAAATTAAGAACAGTTTTGGCCAGCAGAAAGACTATCAATAACCTGACGATAGAAGTTCCAAGATTGACTTGTTTCACTAATTCGTTCTTGGCCAAATGGGTGTTCCTCAACATACTTAGCCATATCTTCAGCATTTGCCAAACCATCTAGATATACTCTCAGCTCCCCTCCTTCACCTATCATGAATTATAGTTATGTTATTATCAACATACAAAATCAGCTTTAAAAATAACAGGATCATTTAATGCATCTCATGTTACAAATTTATAAACTATAGTACAAACATAGTTTTTCACACACTAAATGTCAAGCTTAATGAAGCTAGAATGACAACTTGGTTAATTTTTAAAATTAAAAAAAAAATGCTAGTGACACTCTCTTATTAATATCAAATTTTAACAATTCCTATCACTAAATCAAGAAAAAGACTCACTAAATGATATGCAAATTCATAAAACTTGTGAGTTTTAATTAATAAATTTCAACCAATAAAAAAATTGTGTTAAAAAGAATGTCACTAATATTCCTCTTTAAAATGTAACATATAAATTATCAAATAATTGTTGTTGTGCCTTCCTATTCTTCCAAAGAAATAAATAAAAGTAGGTAAATAAGCATTAAAAAAAGAGAGAGAAGGAGAGAGAGAATTAGTTAAGCCTGCCTTCTCAACAAAGATTTTTACCTAAAGAGTTGTCGTTTTCAACCTGATAACTGAATGTATGAGGGAAGACCGAGGTGTTTGGCTAGAATAATTGATCAAAACATTTAAGAAAAAAAAAGTTAGAAAATGAGGTAATAACATAGTGGTGCTAAAAATACAAGAAGCTTTAATTAAAAAAACTAAAAGGGAGTCTTACAGGATTAAGCAATGCCTTATAGGGAGAATCATCCAATAGTAACGTATTTGATTCATTGTAATATCCTTTCTCCCATGGAAGATTAGGATCATACTTATCCCAAATTTTCCTCAAGTCCTTGAAAACCACATCCTTATGCTTGTTTTCAAGAGTTTTGAAGCATGTTCCAGTGCAATGAGAAAGGTCCTGCAAATTAAAAGCCAACAAAATGCAGAGTCAGGAGTAGAAAAAGGTTTAACACTAGAAAAAGTGTGAAATTACAAACAGTAGTTGTCATCAATCTCATGAAAAAGATAATAAGAATGTAGTTATATAGATGAACAGAGTTATGAATTAATGCAATTCATCATATTTTTTTAAAACAAAATTCATATCTAAATTGAATTCTCATGTAAATTGACAAGATCACCTGGCAAAACAAAAATAAACATGGCTGACATTCAATGCAACTAATTACAGAGATAGAGATAAAAAAAAATGGTATTATTTATAAATAAAAAATCACCGAACCAAGATCCAAGGTCAATGAGGAATGAGATAGAGAGCTTCTAGTAATCAGAGAACAATTCAACAAATGCTTACCCAACAGAAAAGCAACCTCTTTTTCATGTCTCCCATCAAAAAATTAACGACTAAATCAACATTTTTCCTATGATAACAAAACAAATCCATTAGTTTGTACTACACCTAATTGTTAACAAGACAATATCCTAACAGAAATGCAGACATAATTAATCAAAACACATTTATTAAACATAGTTGGATTACTTCAATCTCGAAGACCATATGCCAACTTCAAACTTTTCAAAGCAAAACTCCAGAAACTCAAGATAGAAGGGCCTCTTGAATACTGAAATCAAATTCAAATACAACAGACTTAGTAAAAGAAAGGACATGATTCATGAAAAACAAAGAACAACACAATCCTTACTTGCCCTCCTCGCAATGGTTGCATCTGCTTTGCGATCCTTTGGAGGGGGAGAAACTACATCTGCTAGCAACCCATTTATGTCAAGAACAATAAGTCTTTTCTTCAAACTTGGAACTTGAGCTCCAATCAAAGAACATTTTGAAATTTCTGAAGAAAGATCCTCATTTATGACAGATGCAGATACGGTCTTTTTATCAGTTTTTCTTTCGTCTGCTACAGTTGACTCAGTACTCAATGTTTTTCCACGCGGATCCATCCTATTTATCTCAGGAAATATGGACAACAACAATAAGATTCAAATAAGTTAATAGAATATTATATACAGTAAAACAATCTGGCAAGCACGTGCGTAATTTAATTTAGATTTACATATTATTGCACTCAATGTTTTGAAGCATTTGCACTCATTTTCTACGCAAAGTTATAGCAAGATAATCATCTTAATACAATTTTTAATTTTCTTTCTTTTAACTTCAGCAACTGAGTCATTTAGATAATTTGCCACTTAAAATATAATGGCTTCACTTTGCAATGCATCTTACCTAATGTGTAGCTTATTCGGTAGCAAAGTTAATTTAGATTCTGTTTGAAAATGAAAATGGTGAATGTGTCCAGAGAGAATGTACAACTTGATATATTGCTCACACACACTAATCTAATTAATGATATAAATATTGCAAGATCCACTCGTACGTATTCATGCATTATGTTGCTCTTTCTAAAGGGTTTGCCTGTTTTTTCACTGCTAAACCTTTTTGTTATATGTTTCCATTGAAATAAGGAGAAAAACCAAATTTATGGCACGAAACAAACAGGATATATGGTGAAGTGTTGAAAGAAAAACATTTTCACACAAAGAGAGAGAGAGAAGAAAAAAGAAGAAATAGTGATGTGTGTTATTCAGATTCTAAGTGTCGTTGAGAGAAAACAGGAGATCAAAGGACAAGGGTGACATCAGGCATTTCCACTAATAACACCAAAAGGTCACTTACAAGAAAAGTTTATTCTAACCATATTATTGTATAACTTTACAAGCAGAGAGAATTATAATATTTTTCTTCTAAGCTTTCCTACTATTTTGTCACTGTTTCATAATGAAAGAGATTACTGAGACACACATGAACATGGAGTAAGATAGTTAAATCGATGAGATGAGAAAGAAATGAAGGGTACCTGGAGAAGTTGAAGAAGGTAGCAAACGTTTTGTAGAAGAGAATGAAGGAGTCTTGTACTTTGTTCAGGACATGCAGACTAAGCTGAGGAGTTTCCAAACGTAAGTTCAAGAATTGTAACCGTCAATTCACCAAGAAATAAAAAAATAATTCAAACCGTCACATAATAATAAAAGCGGCTACTACTTATTAACCTCCATGTTCGTCTTTACAATTTTTTAATCATTTGCATTTATATGATGAGTTTGTGTATATATACTAATAATAAGGAATAATTCTATTTGTTATTCACATTTTTCTTTTTTTTATTCTTAAAACTACACATACACTCAAATATTCACACATATATAACTTCTATAATAATAATAAATAATTTTTATTAATTTATGTATATTTTTGCTATTAATAATAAATCTATATTTATTATAAAGAGATACTAAAATGTTACTATTTTTTATCTCCACTTTTTAGTAGATCAATATACTTCTCAAGTGAGGAGAAAAACAATTTCTTAAATTCTTTTGCAATAATCATTCACAAACATTTTATTTTATTATGTTTTTATTTTATCTTTAATTTTAAAAAAATTAAGAGACAGGGTGTTTATTTTCTTTACTAATCTATACTAATATATAAAGGAGATACCCTTTTTAGTAACTATCTTGATCTCCATATTTTGTTGATCATTGTATCCTTCTATTTTAAAAATATTATAAAAAATAATATATTTTTTTTATCAAATTTAAGAACTTTAAATTAATAGACTAATCATAACACCAATTAGACTATTTTTGTTTTTTTATTTTTAATAGAGGCACGAAGTACCTCAATCCTACTAGTTAATAATAAAGGAGATAATTTTTTTTGGTGTAAATAATTTTTTTAACTATTTTATTTCTATAACCACCCCTAATTCACTCTTTCTCTCTCATTACTTTTTTATTTAAATTCTCTCTTTTTTACTTCACGACATGTTTCATTCTCCAACACACTATTTGGTAAATAAAAAAGAAATGGAGGAATAAATAGGGGTGTAAGCGGGTTGGGTTGGACCGGATTTGGATACACCTATTATCCGACCCGATCAAAATTTAATGGGTTGGATTGAGTTGGATTTGTGCAAAAAAAATTTAAAACCCAATTTAACCCAACTCAATCACAAACAAGTTAGATTGTGTTAATCAGATCAACATAATTATATTTATTTATTATAAAATTTTAAATATTTCAAAATAGATGTAAATCATTTGATATATTGTTGCAAATTTTATTTTATCAACTTATAAAGCAAACAATGATACAAATTAAATTCTAAAATAAATTTATTAATTTGTTACATTATTATCAAGTTAAAAAACCAACATTAATTAATACAAAATAAAATTTAAAATAAATATATTATATTGTCACAATGCTATCAACCTAAAAACAAGACTTGTTACTAAGAGTGGCAATGTGTATTATCCTAAGCAAATGATTATTCAAACACTATTATTATTGTTATAATAATTATTATTATAATATGATCAAGTTGGGTTCGGTCGGTAACGGGTTGAAAACACAAAACCTGTTACCCGACCCATACAGTACCAAGTTTTGATTGAGTTAAGTTGGGTCTAACTTGAATATGAAAAAATCTGATTCAAACTCATTGGATTGGTTTGGGTTAGTTTGGATTCGCGGGTTACCCATACCTGCTTACACCTCTAGGAAAAAGAAGGGAGAAAAGTGTAGGAAATAGATAAAAATAAATAAATAAATGTCTATTGGTAAGATAGAAGTAGAAGAAAAATAGTGGGGAAATTATTTTTTTATAAATAATTTATTTAAATAATAAATAATTTTTTATTTTATTACTATTATATTTATTTATCATTATTATTTTATTTTAAAGTATAAAATAATTTATAATTACTTGTTATATTATTTATTATATTATTTTTAAATAATATATATATATATATATATATATATATAAAAGGAGAGATTCACTTACTCTAAGACTAAATGATCCTAGATTTATTTCACTTAATAATTCATGTTCTACATTAAATTTCAATGATCCAAATATTAAATTGAAAAATTCTTTATATATAAATCAAGTTTACAAATTTTTTAAAAAAATTAAAATTATTTGAAACTCCATTTTATTTAAATATTTTTTATGATAATTCGTCAATTTAAATTATAGAAACGAAGTATTAAATAGTTTTAAATTTTTTTTAAACTTTACAAACTTGATATATGCATTAAAAACTTTTAATTTAATAGTTTGATATATGCATTAAAATCTCTCTCTCTAAATACATATATATATATATATATATATATATATATATATATATAACGGATTATGTTTATATACATAATGATTTTATTTATAGACAAAGGCTAAGTACTTCATGCTTGTATGTGGTGGATCATGATTTTTAACCATTAGATTAATCTTATCCTTGTATTTGTATGATGCCCCATCCACATCATATCTACTTTTTTTCCAAATATGTCTATATGCCCATATAGCCAATTATGTCACCATCTTCCTGTCTCCATTATTGTAGCCAAGGGCAAAGCTTCCCAACTAAATTAGTCACCACCATGGTGGTGCCACCCCGTCCAATCCAATAGTCTATTGAAAAGCTCTTGTTCACTCTAAGTCTTTTTGTGTCGATGACGCCAACTAGATTAGTCACCACCATCGTGCTGCCACTCGGTCCACTACAATAGTCTATTGAAAAGTTCTTGTTCACTCTAACTCCTCTTGTGTCGATGATGCTCAACTCAATCTCTTCACTAGATTTTTGTGAAGTTGTTGCTTTCTACTTATTGTTAGTAGCGACATCATCAAAGAAGCATTTTTTAAGGGAAAAAAAAAAAGAGGGATAGGAAGATGAAGAGGAATAAGAAGACAAAGAACAAGAAGAGGGAAAAAATGGTACCACTACCAGAAATCGCCTTCGATGACGACATACATGGTCAACAACACTCAATAATGTATACAATGATGGATAAAATAATAGAGTATGGACTGTGCATTAAAATGGATAATAAACTAACTTAAAAGACAATAATTTTGATACATAGCGAACCACCTATCATGATGGTCCATCGTAGACCCCATCATATATTTATACATAAAAAAAACATAATCAAAACGAAAGAGAGACACATACATGTGAGAAATCCTCAAAAAGTCACGCAAAACAACGGAGTCATGAGCAGATGAAGACTTCTGTGCACATCCCTCATATTAGATGAGAAGTTTTTAGATTGGGATCCATTTATATTTACACATACTTCGCTCCTCTTCCTTATTTTGAAACATGTATTATTTTTAACTTCCCACCATTTTTTTCACACTTCCCTCCCTTTTTTTTCTCTCCTTTTTCCAAAGGCATTCCAAATCTCTCACTTCCTAAGTACTTATAACTCCCCACTCTATAATTTTTATATTTTTATTATTTTTATTTTTTAGAAATATTAAAAGTCATGGAATGTCTCTTTTTTAATAATAAAAAATGATATCACTTTTTAGTATTCATAATTTACTTTTCAATTTTATCTTTTAATTAATTACCATTAAAGAAATTGTAAAGATTATAAAAAAAATTAATCATTAATTAATAAAAAAATGTTATTCTCTTAAGAGTACAAAGTAAATTTTTTTTTACTAGTGATAAATAAAAAGGAAAAATCTATTTTGGTGTCTACAATTTTTTTACCTATTTTATCTTTAATAATTAGATATTCACTCAAATAATGACACATGAGAATAAAGATAATTATTATTATTTTATTTTTTTAAGCACACACAATGTGTCTTTTGTTTAATAGTTTTTCTTACAAAAGAAATTTATTTTCTTATTAATGTCTTTATGGAGTGTACACAAATTGAGTCGATCTAAAACTTAGATTTGACTTGTGAAAATCAAAGAATTTGGTATAAGTAGTTAATAAGTTAAAATCAAGGTCAAATTGTTTAGATAATACTCAAGTTTAATTCTTGATAAAAATAATCATTTATCAGACTCTACTTACCTCTCAGTCAAATCAACTTTAAGATACCAATTTAAAAAAAATTAACTAGTAAAAAAAGTTGAATGTGAAATTTTGATTCATTTATTTAATTGAATATAATTAAAAGTTTAAATTTAACTTCTTTAGCTTATTTATAACTTAATTATTTTTTACTTTTATGAAAATTTTCTTACATTATTATTTAACTTTATTTATATGGAATTTAAGAAATAACATCCTAATATAGGATTCTTTTTTTAAAAAAATTATATATTATATTCGTTTTAGAAATAGATTTAAAAAATTTATATACATATAAAATAATAGATAATTAAAAGATAAAAAAAAAAATTTTTATAAAAAAAACTGAAAGATATAATAAAATTTTATAATTTTTCATAAAATGTTAATAAAGGACTGTATGTTGTGGTTTAATAAGAGATGCAGATGATGAAATCTAGATTAATGTAAATTTTTGATTCTCAAGACAAAATGTTAATATAGGGCTGTATGTTGTGGTCTAATAGGTTTGATGGTGAATTCTAGTGTAACCAAATGTAAATGTAAATTTTTTATTCTCAAGACATAAAAGTAAAATAATAATAATAATAATAATTTGTTGTTTTGAAAGTACTCCTACAAAATTATAGAAGTGCTTTTTAATTTTTTTCTATGGATAAAAGTAAACTTTTTAAAGGCATTTATTAGAGTAAATGAAAAATAAATTAGTTTTTTCATAAGTTATTTTATAAAATTCTCTCATATTAATTTTTTTAAAAATTATTTTTAATGTTTAATAAAAGAATTATTCTTTTATTTTCTTTGCGTATAAATATTTTAAAGGAAATTTATGCAAATGTGTCCTAAAATTATCAATGACCAACTTAATTGAGCGGAAAAATAATGTCGACACAATGAAGTCAGATAAATCTCTCTTTAATTTGTAAATATTTTGATGAGAGTATGTACAAAATTTAAGTCTTAAAGTCATTATAATCAATTTTTATATATTATATATGAACAATTATCTCACTCGAAAGCAAATGCTTTTTTCTTAATTCCTCTTTGATGAGAAAGCTTTTAAAAATTATTTTAATATTTAATTTAATTTAATTTTTATTTATCATAGTTATTTATAAATTTAGTTTTAATATTTTCAAAATAAAATATCAATAAATAAAATTAATTTTGTACTACATTATAAATTTTTTATCATAAATCTAAAATATAATTTACATGTTATTGTAAAAAAATATAATTTATACGTTTAAAATTATATATTTATACAAATTTAAAATATAATTTATATTATGAAACATAATATTTATTTTTATATATAATTTATTATAAATTTTAGTTATATACAATAAATATTTATTCTATGTATTGTACAGACTAAAATGTTAGTTCTTGGATATTAAAAAAATGCTAAATTATATTTTAACTCTTTCTATTTACTTTTAGGATTTAATTTGGTCCCATTATTTTTAAAGTGTTCGATTTGGTCCTTTAATTTTAAAAAAATGTTCAATATTATGCTTTCATCCAAATTATGTTAACGACTAGGGATGAAAATAAGTTGGGTCTTGAATAAGGACCTATAACCTGACCTATTTAAAATTTTACTTGACCTAACCTATTTAATAAAAAGATAAATTTTAGACTTGTAAAAAAGTCTATTTATATAAAAATGTTAGATTTTGTAACGACCCGGCTGGTCACTACACACACCACTGTACACCAGAAACGCCAGACAGAAAGGACAAGTATATAAATATAGGGTCTAGAATATAAATATATACAAAGTCCCTATCCGATTAGAGTTAGAGTGTACAAAAACAAAATACATTATCAACGGCTACACCAAGTAACTGAAAA